CAGACCCACCCTCAGAGGCCCAGACACCACATTAAGGCAGCTCCCAAAGTTCAGCATTACTAATATCCCCTTATGTGTAAACCTGCAAGACGCATTGTGCATTCATTTGCGTCTCCCTTTTCTGTTTCTGCACAGTGGAAATCTAGAGGACAGAAGCAACAAGAAATCTCAACCAATGCTGTCTTGCTGCCTACCCACAGGAAGTCAGGAAGCTTAAAAACTGAGCAAGGAGGAGCCTGAATGCCAAAAAGCAATTCGCTATAGATTGGCCCTTTGCCTGAAAGACAGAAGGAGGAACACCCAGTGTCTGCACTGGCACAAGATACATACCAGAAAACTGAAATTCAACCCATGCCAAGTTACATTTGAAAAGCGAAATGTACATAGGCCAGTGAAAACAAAATTAGATAGGAGTTCAGGGTAAGAAAGATTAATAAAACAAGTTCAGTTTTGCATGAAAGTCAGCTTAGAAAGACAAACTGAAAGTAAAAGAGAGATTAGTGAATTTTTTCATGCCAAGAATCAGATGAAAATCACAGTTGCTGAGCTGTTCAAGAGAGCATTGAGGAGAACCAATATCAAGCCATCTCCATTTGAACACTATCTTTGAAGTTTAAGTACTAATTATCCTCAACATAGCAAAGATTAAACTGCTGAGATAGACTATGCATTCCCACAGCCCTCTGATAATGTTACAATGGCCACTCCCTCTTCATCTTTAAAAGCTCAATGTATCCTTTTAAATTATGTCTAAAAATAAGCAAACAAAGAGCTGCCTACAGCCTACAAATATCTGTTTCTTTGTGTTTATAGTCACACAGCGCTTGTACTCAGGAGGTGGCTAACTCCCAAGACTTACCAGGTTTCATGCAGCTCCCAAATTGCAGAACCTTCCTAGTGCTTGTCCAAGTGACAATGAAAACAGAGAAAACACCAGCAATATTGCCATTCTACAACTGACACCATTAAAGTTCTTAAAACTAACCATAAGTTTTAAATAGCACTTTGCAGTATTTCCAGAAGCGCATTTTAATGCTTCAAAGGCTTATTGAAAAGCTAAGTATCACTCAATTTTCCTCTCTTCACACCCTTCCCTACTATGTAACCAGTTTTTACACTGCATTTTCTGGTTAACATATTCATACAGCCCTTTTCAGGAAATGCTTGGTGAGAAAAGGTGTGAAGCAAAAGGGAGGGTATCTCTGCACGATACTCTTGAGCATAAGGAAGAGCACATAAGAGCAGTTAAATTGTTTAAATATGCACTGCAACATAGTGAAGTGCACGAGATCAAACGGCTGCACAACAGAATGAATTCTTTTTCTACTTTCTTGTGCATGTAGTTTTTTTTGGCTTTTCTGTTTCTTTATTTGAGGAAGATTTTTTTTTTTTTTTTCTACAGCCTAACTATAATAGAAGTAACTCCCCTAAGAGGTATTTCAAAAATCAGTAAAAAATGACTGTGCTTTGTAGAAAGGACATGAAAAAGACACTGCAACTCTTCATCCTGAAGGATACCACTGTTCTCAGTCCTTCACTCTTAAGGCAGCTCCACCTCTGGCTGGATGCTGCCCTTCACACACCCAGTTAACACTAAATCAGGCACCTTTTGAAGTGCATTGATTCAAGTTACCTGTCCAGAGACCAAGTTACCTGTCCAGAGACCAAGTGAACATTTACCTCAATGCCACCAGAATACTTCAGGTAACTGTAAAGTCCTTCTTATAATATATACTACTCATGACACTTACAATATACCACCCAGACACCTTATAGCTACCAAAAGCTCCTGACCTTCCAACATCATCTATCTTTCATGAACCTTGTACTTGTATCTCTTCATTCAGAAATGGAAAAGCAACTCTCCACACACACGGGAATGGAAAGGGATCGAGTAGGGGAAAATTTCAACAGTTGCACTGCGTGCTTTCTCTTGCTGCAACTCAAGAGTTGATACAACTTCACCCAAATCCAGAAAAGCCAGGCTAACACTTGAAACACCATTTTTATACAAATCCTTTCTTCCAGGCCTATGGATAACAGGAGGAAACACAGCTGCTGTATTTCTGTAACTAACTGCAGCTATTTCTAAATCTAATGAAACAAGAGAACTATATCTAGTTGAATTGGATCACCCAGTTAACAGGGACGAGAAAAGCAGCTCCACAGCATCAACACAAAGACAAATGTTTAGCACTTCCAGCTCCCTGTTCCAAGTATTCATAGAATGCAAACCACTCAACACTCCTGTCACATAGTCAAGGCTCCAGGTCTGCAAAACTGAGTTCAGTGACACTGCATTTCAACAGTATTTATCTTCTCAGTGCACTACATACTCAGATGCTTTGGGTGGGTGATTAAAGCAAGCAAACAAAAACAGAAATCCCAAAACCAAACAACCAAAAAAACTCCAAACAAGCCAACAACAACCCACATACAACATAACCACCTTGCCCTACACAGGCCATACTGCATCTCTTCTGATCACCTTTCACTCAGGAAGAAAGGGTCAGAGTCTGCATTTGGTACTCTTAGTGCGAATGTTCAGACTGACAAATAGAAAGCTCTAATGCACTTCTAATGGACTAAGTCTTCTGTCTCATCCTGATGAGCTGCTAATTATGCATTAAAGAAAGAAAAATAATAAAAATTACTCAAACTTCCACAATCATCAAAACATATTTCTGTGCATCCTTACATTTGTTCTTTTCCTCCGGAGAAGTCAACAAAAAACATACTAGAACATCACCTCTAGTATTTGAAAATAAAAAAAAAACCCAAAACAAACATACAAAATTAGCCACCCCAACAGAAATAATTTCTTACTTGTGCTAGCTATAGAAAGAGCCAAAGACACTTTAAAATATGCCAATCTCGTCAAATGTTAGCCATTCCCAAGAAATGCCAGTTGGATACCTTTATTGTATTAATTTCAATAAATAATCTTGACATGCCCCATACTGTCACAAATTATTCCAATAATAATAGCCTAACAGTTTTATTGCAATGTCATCCTGCTTATATACAAATTAACATCAATTTCAAAGGAAGATGCAGTCACATCCCAGTAACAGGGACAATTTATGCACACTTACTTTCAGAACTGTCCTGAAGTATTTAAAGCCATACATAGTGAAGAACAGTAAAAATCCCGTATTTAAAACAAGTCTCTATATATTTGCTCAGTAACCTCAGTAGCTTAGCACAACTAAGTGGTAAACTACACTAACATGGAACTACTGATTCACCAACCTCACATCAAAACTATTTTCGTCAGGAAAAACCGTATGCCAGTTTTTAAACACGCAAGTCACACTGCTAATTTTGAGGCACCCAAATGAAAGCTCATTTCTTGCCAAAGCACTTGCTAGAGAACAGATTTGTTTGGCTAACTTCTAGAAGACAGATTTATCCTTATACCAGTATTTCAGTATGGCAGTAATGGCTTTTTCAGCACCATGACCTAACTAACATTCCTTGCAAAGGCTGCCAGTCCCAGTAGGTAGCCTAACATGGGAGAATTTTGTTTCTACAAAATTCATGTTACTTGGGCTGCTCAGCACTCCAGCCCTCAACTTTTTCATGTCATTACAGTATCAGAATTACAGCAGAAACCCAAAGTACTTAAACAGACAGCTTTATCACTACAAGTAATTAAATGTTTATAGTGTACAGCTACAGCAGTAATTGCACAGTATGCAGCACTTTTGAATTTTCCAATGTGATTATAAAGCGTGAAGCTCCATGCATCCCTCAAATACCCAAGAAGTCCAATTTGACAGAAACAGATATTACACAAATGCAATCATATTTATCATACATTTGGAGAAGGTCACAAAAATAAAGCTACAGCTACTCACCTCCGACGGTTCCCCAAACAGATGCTCCTGAAGACCTCACTAAATAATTCCAACAAAAGTGTTTTCTACTCTGCACCCTCCAGCATCTCACCATCAAAGGAAAAAGACCACTGAAAACCATCATGCTGCTTTCTAGGAGACACTGGTGGCACCTCTACAAATAGCAAAGCTGTCTGGACTATTCCATGTCCAAAACAGCTGCCATCAAACTTGACCAGCCAGAAGAGGAAAACAAAAAAAGAAAACAAAGAATCCCAAACCATCAACTTAGAAATATTTTAAGTAAGCCACTTCGACTACAACAGGTAACTTTCCTTCTCCCAAAGAAAACTGAAAATTCCAAACACACTTCACCATACTAAATGGGAAATGAGTGTCTTTGACACTACCCTTTCATAAACAAAAAACTAATTGATAGCCCTTTCTCCCTCAAGGCTGAAACTCTGTGAACAATTAACTTACAATTCAAAACAAGACTCAAGTAATAGCAAAAATAAATCCAAGTAGGGAGCAAAACAAAAGTAAAACAGGGAGCATAACAAAAGTAAAACAGAAGGAGGATACTGCAGTTCAGCTCAAATTGTCACTCGGACACCTTCACTTCTGTTCCTAGAATATTAACATTGATTCCAGTTTCTATTCACTGACATTTTAAAGTTCACTGTCTACATGCAAATATCATTAAAAAATAATAATTCTGTCTTAAACATCACGAATCATACAAGGCATCTCAGGCCATCAAACCACAAGAAAATCTGTATATCCCAGCAGAAAATGAAGGTAAAAGGCCACAATCAAATCACACAGCAGATTTCAGCTACACCAGTCTGTCAGGCGAGACAGAACAATCTCACACCTACAACAGAGCATACAGCTGTACTCTTCCCTGCTGCTCTGCTCATCTACTGAAAATTCACAAAGCAGAGTATCCAATGCTGAATGGCAGGACATAGGGAGCCAACTGAAATTCATTTACCAGAACTGATTCTGCATAAATCTTGGACATGCATCCCCACTCATATACAATTAAATGGGTAAATAAAGCACGAGAAGAATCATTACTTTTGTATTAGGTAAAAAAACAAAGGATAACAAGAATAGTTTTTCATTACTACATTAGCTCTCATTTTTCAGACTTACCTGGTCTTTTTCATGGGGTAATAGGCTGACAGGTGGAAGGGAAGCTGGGAAGGTGCTGGAGTATTTTGGAGCTCCTTTGCTTTCCAAACTGCCATAATTCACTCTATACTGAGGACCATCCTTCAGTAACCTCCCATTGTTCACAGCACGTTTGGCCCCCAGCCGCAACCTCTGCTGAAAGGCAGGATTGTTGAAAATACTTGCTAGGTCATTTTGACTTCTCAAATACTTTTCTATGTTTTTCAGGGAGGAGCCATTAGGTTCTTGAAGCCCTTCAATTGCTCTTCTCAAGAGTTTATTCCAATCCACATTACGAAGCTCATTACAAGCTCCTCTAGATCCCTTAACAGATTTAGGAATAGTGCCAGGTTTAACACATGAAAACCGTCCAGGATTATCTGGGTCCTTGTAGGATGCAAGACCTTTGTTAGTGACTTTAAGAATAGAACCATCTTGAACACTAAGTTCCAACTGTTCTGAAACAGTCTTCTTATCTAATCCATGGGAAGCACAAACAGCATGACATATTCTCTCTTCAGAAGGCCTTTGCTTTTGCTTTTTAACTTTTTGTATAGCTTCCAGAATCCACTCCGTATAAAGAGGATTGGCAAGTTTTACCATGGTTGACCAGTAATTGTTTCCAGCCAAGAGTTACCCATAGAGGTTCCTCCTTATCCTTTTAGCAGATCTTTCAGAGGCTGTTCACACCTCAAAGACAAATGAAAGGATTCCACACACTGCTTGGACACATGGCAAAAATATCCACCCTGAGGAGTCAGAAAAAGCAGAGAAATACCTGCCGACTGAAACTTTCCAATTATGTTACTGTTACTGAAACGTAGAAGGGGTTCATCTGTGATGACACTGGTACCTCCTTAAAATAAAGTTTGTTGCAACCTTTAAAAAGAAAAAACAAGAAGCAGGGAGAGAATACAGTTAATGCTGAAGTATTAAAAACTAAAAACGCATTCAGACATGCATTCATACTGCAGATGCTGCAGTATAGAAAAATCTTTGTGATATTATATGAAACATTTGTTAGTTCCCACCCCACACCAAATAAGTCATCATAAAATGCTTCTGCTTCTCATAACAGTCAGTGGATTTAGTTTTCCCAAATTCCATCACCCCAACACTTAACCTACTACTGACCTGTTGGACAATTTCCACTGAGTTAGGGATCTGAAAACACTCTCTAAAACAAACTGCCTCCAGATCATTTCTACAGGATTATACATGCACTAGAAAACCCAAACAAACAGAAAACCAAACCCCAACCAATGAAAGATAAATTATTAACCACTTCCCATTCTTACAGTATCCTGTCTCTTACTGTCCTGCCATGTTGATTACACAACTCAAAAATCAAAACCAAAAATATCAGAACCAAGTTTCAAGTATTAGGTACCCTACAAAACCAAAAGGCATCACAAAAACACTTCTCATTTTAAGGCGTGCAGCACAGAGGCATTTTTGATACAAACCCTTAGGAACAGAAGCAAAAACAAAGTAACAGGAGGCATCTTCACATAAACAGGTTGTCAGCACAAAGATGCGTAAAGAGATCACATCGAAAAATGTTTCATTGACTCACAGTTTAACTTTTTTTGTTTTTACTTATTATGGAATACATCACTCCAATAGAAAATTCAATGGCTACAAAAACTCATTAGAGAAACCTGAAAGAACATCTTGATGAAGATTTTATTCATTCTGGGAACACATGAAAAAAATAAAACCATTTTAAAGTCTCACAAATTAAACTTAGACAGGAGTTGCATAATGAATAAACAAATATATTTGAAGTATTAGTTTTTTCTGCCATGAAGTATGAGAACTTTTGAAGGCATTAACAGAATTGCATAATCACTTCAAATCAAAGGAAAACAAAAAAACAGAAGAGAAAAAAACTTCATTCTCAATACATTGGTTATCTTGTAAAGTAGAAGATTCACCATTTTCACAGTAAAAATTTAAAACTAGTTAATATGCAAGTATATTTATAAAGCTATGGCAAGCAGCCTACAAATAACAAAATCATCTATGACTACACAAGTCCTGGACTTCATTTTTTATTTGTTTATTCTAGCCATTCTGCAGTTAAATAATGTTCAAAAACTTGAGTACATTACAACTAGGAAAAAACCCTGAACTGATACAGTAATCTAAATTCAACTTCATAAAAAGATTCCTCTGCAACTACGAAGATAAAGAGTACAACAACACATACTTTTGGCCCTAAACCTCTTTTTTCTTCTACCCCTCAAAAACGTCTTTAAATATAAATTCCAGCTCATTTTTCACACATTATTATACCAATACAACAGAATTACTAACTACTAAAAGAGCAGCTGGTTACTGGTGAGCATAAAATTTTTCTACATCCAAATAGTCAATATTAATTAATTCATTTTATCAATCTGTCCTTCTCAAACCTGATCAAAGCTTAAACAAGTTCAGATTTACAAATGAGACTTCAAGTGACTGCCAGACTGAAAGAGACACATTCCTGATGCAAATGCAGGGCCTGAATGCTTACCTGGCTCACATACTGAACCCTATTGATCTACATGGATTGGATTCTGTTTCTTGTTTCCAGACTGTACTCATGGAAGCTGTATTTGATAACAGCTTTGTGCATTTCAAGTATCTGTAAGCAAACAATAACTTGTTCTGTAAACAGACCTTTTTTATTTACTCCAGCTAGCAAAATCCATTCTTTCCCTAACAGAATTGTTTATACTCACTGCTTTCAGATAATTCCAAAATAACACCATAGCTACAAAATGCAGACAAATATAGGGAAGGAAGGAGTTTCCATGGTATTATAAATCCTACAAATTCTCACAAATCTGACACTGCAAATTCAATAATACAGCAAAGCAGAACCCTATATACAGTGGAGGCTCACTCACATTGAGACTATTTCATACACTCTCCTATAGATTTGAAAGTTCTCTGTAGCTACATATAAAGCCCCAGATTCCTAGAAAGCTACTTTTAAAGTTATTTCATTAGTCTGTTCCACTGTAAGTCTTCATTAAGATAGTCATGACTTAATTAAATGCTGAACACTGCATTTGCTGAGTCAGACATACTTGTCTCGGTTTTACATCTACTGCAGTACTGTTGTATTAAATTTCATACAAGCAACCACATCACTTCCATTAAATTCCAGAACACACAGTACAGGGTCTGTTCCAAACTCCTGGTCACTGATGAACATTTCAGTATAAATGCTGTAACATGTGGGTTACAGGAATTTTTATTGGCCAATGACTGTGGCAAAAGGTTAGCATAAACCTATATCTTCATATAAAGTCTACTGCTTGGTACAGAAATTTCACAGCCATATACATTCAGAACTACATTTTTACTTATTTACTTAAAACTCCTTACGTGTAATGCAACCTCCTGCATGCTGGCACCTACTAAATCAACCCCAGTAAAGAGGATCAGCAGAAACAGAGTTTCCAATGCACTGGACAGGATATTTCAGGAGCAAAAATCAAGACATCTTAAACAGACACCTTCCAACAGTATCCAAGTTCACTCTGCCTTAAGGAACCACGCAAAGTGCATCCAACCCAAGTTTTAAATTGTTTTGCCACAACTTAGAGCTTCTCTTACTCTGGCACTTGGAGCACACGTGAACTCCAAGTGCAGCCCCCTGACCTCCATGACTGCTATGCCAAAGCCTACCACACACTAGAGTCGGAATAACTCATCACTGACAAACATCCTTCCCAGCAAAACAACTCAGGTGAGTGATCCTGGAGCTATAAATTAAGGAGATGGTCCAGAAATCAAGACAGACTGATCCAAGATTGGCAATATAGAAATACACACATCTACATGCAAAGTGACTAGATAACACAAAACAAATACTTGTAGAAACAATCTTGCAAGATTCAACATGAAAGGATACTCAGAAATACAAAGTTACATTCAGGTTTCTAAGTTTAGAATGCAATTCTACCAAAATTACAAATAGGTGGTCGTACATCATTTAATATAAAAAGTGTGATGATTACCCAAACAGATTTTGAGGAAATACCATTTTAAAGAAGTGATTATAAATTAGTCTACTTAGGCATTCATGTCTGTTTAATCACCATCAGCAGCACTCATTCAATCACAAAACAGATTTTCCATACTGTTCAATGCACAGGACAACTTCCAAGTTTTATGGCAACAGTCATGAAGTTCCTTCTATGTAATTTGTCATATTTTAACTTCTACGCTGTATGGTATCTTATATTGGAAATAAAAGCATTTGAGAAAGTTTGGCTGTACTATATTACTGACCAAATCTATTAACAAGTCTGCCACTGAAGAGCTACAGAACAGAAGCATTAGAGGGTGAAGTATAACCCATTAGCTCTAAAACATGAAAAACAATCTCTAGTCAAGGCTTGTCCCTTTGCCTAGGTCATAAATTATCAGATAAATACAAAGAAGTTGCAAAATTTCAGCTTGGGATTTAGAATCAATGCAAATGTGCCCTTTATAACGCACACACCTATTACACAGATGATTATAATTAAAGAAGGCAGTGACTGAACACTTCAATCTCAGGTGTCACCAGTAATCCTATAATCCTCTAATAAGGTGGTTTTTAGACTGAACCAGTACCTGGAATTGCTTCCAGGTGATCCAGATTGTGAAAACAAGCAGTGTAGTCAAAAAAAACAGCAACAAAAAAAGCAATGCTTCTCTTTCCACAACTGAAACCAAAAGTTACTACACAAACATCACAACATACAATCTAAAGGTTAGGTTATTTTTTTAATTCATGAAAAGTCTGCTTCAGCTTTCATAAATGTAAATGCAGTTAAACTTTTAAAAACCGAGGTTAACACAGCTATAAGAAACAAAAACTAAAAGAAAGGGGGGAGAAGAAGATGGGAGAGATGACAGCAACTTGTGCAACCTGCCGGTGACCTGTGAAGCTCAATCTCATTCTGCTCCCTCCTACCTGCTCTGCACACACTCACGAGAAGCAGCAGCAGGCCAGCTCTCTGCTGCAGCATCAGGGTCAGGTAAGGATTGCAGCAGAGGAGGAGGAAGGGAAGACTGCCATTGCATTCCATTTTTGCCATTTTTCCTTGCTCCAAGCCATTACTTAGAATTCTGTAGCTAATCAGCTCTGTATTCCGCCCTCATCTCAATTAATGCTGCAAAACAGACAAGATAGTTGTTTTGCTATTGCAAAATACATGGACCTACAAAGAGACGGGGAGAAAGCAGATCCTGGTAAGGACTCCCATCATGCATATCCCTCTTAAAATTACTCAGGTCATGAAGACAGCTATTACATTATTCTTTACACAACAGACAGTTTCCAATAATAAGAAAGGGCAAAGACACATGTATATGCTTTAAAAAGACAGATATGTAGACACTACAGTAACTTCAAAACTGCACCAAAGACTCGGGGTGTGGGGAGAAGAGTGGCACATGTGAAACGAACTGAAGGAAGTGCTTGTGCTCCGAGGTAGCCCAACAGCATCTTTGAGATCATACGCTTAAAATCATTTCCCAACGTGACAGCAGCAAGCGCCACCAGAGCAAACAGCATCAGCACAACAACACGACAGCAGCAAAAGCACCGAAATTCACCTTTCCCACCTTCTCCTGTGGAAGTTCTGGGCACTTTAAAATACAGTACTAGAGAACAGCAGGAAATATGGGAAGGTAATATTCACTGCCTAGAGTACACCTGGAAAAAGGTGAACTGAAAACATTTCTTCTTGGGATAGTGGTTTTCAACAGCAGGGGTGGGTATCCGTCTGCTCTTGCCAGAGCGGCTTATTTCCAATGCTCAGTGACAGAGTACGAGAGGTGAGGTCCGGGCAAAGAACACACAATGTGAACATCACTTCCAAAACGTGGCACTGCCAGGCTGGACTATTCCCCTCCCCAACTTACTTAAGGTTTTCGCAGTATTAGCCCAGCCGCGGAGACGTGCAACGCCTAGAGCCTCGGGCCAAGGCATTGTTGCATTGGAAGGGGCCAAGCCGGGGCTGGCTCTGCGCCCTGCCCGCGATGTGCCATTCCCGGGGCAGGAGCCGCAGCCCGCAGGCTGCGCGCCCGGGGCAGGGCAGGGCAGGGCAGCCCAGGGGCCGGGCCCGTGCGCGCACCCGCACCGCGGGGCGCCGGGCGGGGCCGGGGGCGGCGGCCGCGCGTCCCCCGCGGGAGGCAGGTGAGCCCCCCCGGTACCACTCACCTCCGCGGGGGGAGGAGCCTCCTCCGGGCGCCGCAGCGGCTCCCCCTGCTGCCGGCTCTTCCGCCGCTCCCGCCGCCGGGCGCGCCGGGCCGCCTGCCCCGCTCCGCGCTGCCCGCGGCCGCCGCGACCGCCCCGCTGCCGCCGCGCGCGGCTCGGCGCACCTACGCCGCCATTTTGTCTCGCCCTGTTGTACTTAACGTGAATCCGACATGACACTGATTACAGCCCAATGGAGGCTCATTAAAACCTTACCTACCCCGCGCCCCGCCCACCGCCGCCCGCCATTGGCCCGCGCCGCGCACGCCGCTGCGCGCTCACGGGCCGGGGGGGGCTGTCCGTCACCCGCCCACACCGGCCCCGGCCCGCCCAGCAACCGGTCCGGCGCTCCCATTGGCGGGCCGTGCCTGTCAATCACGCGGCGCGCCCCTTCCCCGCGGGCTCAGCACCGCCCAGCGGCGGGAGGGGGCGGGGGCGGCGACTGACACTGGCCGCCGCCGCCGCCACACACTCGCCCCTCGCTCCCGAAGTTTGTTCGGGAGCGCGAGCGCTGCCGAGGCACCGGCGGCGGGCGCTTGAACCAGCTCGGCAGGGCGGGCGGGCGCGCGACACACACTAATGAGCCGCCTTAAATATTGAGCGTCACGCGCGTGCCTCAGAGCCTGGCACTCGCCCGGGCGGGCGAGATGGAGCAGCACGCTCCCAGCATCAGCCTCCCAAGGTGCCTGGCACTGGCAGCCGCTTATCGCGCACACACACCCCGCACCGCCGGGGGAGGGAGGAGGGAGTGGGAATGGGGACGACGACAATGACTCCCAGCTCTGCAGGCACATGCAGGTCCCTGCAAGTTTCGCCATGCGAAGCACAGGGACTTCTCTGTCACCCCGTCTGCGAAGGAACAATTGCCGCCTCAGAAAGACAGGGTGGGAACATGCAACACAAAAACCTCAGCCATCCCCTGCTTCCCTCCGCCGCTCCATTCCCCCTCTCCCCACCCCATCCAGCCCAGCCATCACCCCCTGCCGCTGCTCCCCCTCCCCTGCAAAACGCAGCGCGTTGCATTGCATTTACCCAGCGCGAGTGCCTGCAAACACGTGCAGCAGCCTCCGATGCTAAAGGAAAAAAAGTACCCAGCCTAGTGACAAGCCCCCTGCGCTGGGAGAGGGGAGGGAAAGGGGGTTATTATGGCAAATTGCAGCCTGTCACCCAATGCAAAACAAACCCCATCGCATGCTCCCTATTATCCCCCGCATAAACTCCTGGGAATCTAACCTCCGATGCAGGTTCCCCCCTTTGCTTGCAATGACCTCCTTTCTCTGCCCGTGTGTGTTTCTGCAGCAGCGGTTCCTGCGGAATGTGCTGCCCCTGAAACGCGATCGCGGCTCCTCTCTCTCTCTCTCGCTCTCTCCGCTCTGTCTCTCGCTCGCCCGCTCGCTCTCTCTCCTGGCTGCAAGCAGAGCCAGGAACACAACAACAACACAGCCTCCCCCCACCCCCTTCCCCAAACACATACACACTGAAGAGACCCAGCCAGGAGAGCCAGACGAGCCGGGGAGGGGGTGGAGGGAATCCCCAGCCAGCGGATTGATTGCACCAGTTACCTTCCCTAAGCCCCTCCGCGAGAGGGGAAAAAAGAAGATGAATACAGAGAGAATACCTTGTCTCCCCTCCTCCTCCTCCGCGGGGCTCCTCTTCTCACTCCAAAATACTAAAAGGTGGACGGGCAGATCAGACACACGCGTTCAGCTCTCGGCGGGGGAGGGGAGCCACGCGAGCAATTATCATTAATTTAGAAATTAAAACAGAAACCCACCCCAGACCTCCAGCCTCCCCGGTGCGGGCGGACGCAGATTGCGAGGACTGGTGCTAAGACACAGGACCTGATAACAGCTAATTGAAAGGTTAATCTACATAGGCTGTGACAGAAGAGGTCCCTCCCCACTTTTTTATCTGCTGTTGGCAAGTGGGAAATTGAGCTCCCCCCACCTTTTCTCCCTCAATAGGCGATAAAGTTTGGGGGGCGGCGCGTCCCCTGGGCGGGAAGGCGGCTGCGGGGAATTGGGCAGCGGCGCCTCCCGGGGGCCCTGAGCCGCGCTCGGGGGTCGCGCTGGGCTTTCCGTCCCGCATGGGGCCGTCGGGACTGCCTCGATGGAAGCCCCCCACAGGCAGCCCTTGGGGCTCCAACACTCCCCCGGGCCGGGGCAAGAGGGCTGTGCTTGAGCCACCGTAATCAGTCTGAGGGATGGAAGCAGCGAGAACAAATCACAGATGTTCTCCTCCCATGGAGTTTGTACATGTAACAAGATGTTACGAGGAATATATATTAAATAACAAGGTGATAACACGTACGCACTTAAAGCTCCGTTTTCTCCACGCTGTCTCGACCAGTGCTGCCAAAGGCCTCTCACCATGTCAAGGTTTTCAGCAATCACGGAATAAATATGCTGAGTTGGAAGGGACCCATCGGAACCATGGAGTCCTACTCCTGGGTTTTAATACTCCTTGTGATGGTTTTCTCACCTGTGGCCAGCAAACAGCACTTTTCACCCAAACATCACTTTTTACCCAAGCATGGCATGACAAAATACCATGGGATACATCCCACAGGGTACCACACAAGGGAGGGAAAGGCAGAGTACCTACCTGAGCATCTACTCAAGCAGGCACAGCTAGACATTCCCCATTTTCCCAAACATGAAACATGATTGTTCCAGACATCTCCTCAACATCTTCTTTTCCATATCTTGTGGATGACATGTTGTGTTAGGGGCCTGCCTGCAAAGTTTACTAAAAATATCTGGTCCTGAATAAGAAAATATAAAATTCTAAAAAAGTCTTCTTAAGAGTGGGTGGAAAATGACCTTCTACAATAAATTATGAAGGTCTTCCCTAGATGATGCACTGCCTATAGACTAGTAAGGAAACAAAGTTTCCATTAAAAAAAAAAAAAAAAAAAAAAAAAAAGCCCCCAACATTAAGATTTAGTGCAACTTCTTTCAGAGTCAGTTTCTGGAGATACTGTGTAAGGAAGCTCTTTGGTGATGTTTCAGAGCACTGTCAAATTGTATGACCTACTTACAGAAAGCTACTGGGTGAAAATAATATTCCAGCATGTATCTATCACACCATAACCATTGACTGAGCTTTTAGTCTTTTAACTGCCAAATGCAGCCTTTTAAACATAAAGAGGGAAATTGAAATGTGTAGTGACCTAATACTTGTTGGAGAATCCGTCAAGGTTCATGTATTATGCAGGACCTGGCAATGATTTAAAGTAGTTTTTAAATTATTGGATATGTTATAAATCATTTCAGCACAATTTGTAGCACAGCGTCACATTTGCAACTCTATTCTGAATGTTGTGTCAACATTTCCATCAGAAACTTTTTTTTTCTTTCTGGGAAATTTACAACTAGGTTAGTGGTAAAAACATAAAAATAATTTCTTGAAACTGAAACTTGGCATGGCCACATCCCAGTTCAGGAAACAAAACACTGGAGAAAACTCGATAATATGTTTGGCCATTTTGGAATTACGAGTGTGTCATGAAGACATAAGTAACAGCACAGAGAAAAATCATAAAAGTCTCTGGTTTAAATAATTCCATTCTTTATTCTCCATTTAACTCTTTTCCCAAAAATAAATTTTATAGGATGATATGTCATTGGGTGTTGAGTTCCAGTTTTTAACATATTCAAGAACCTTTTGTTTGCAGAGAGAGTCCTGTGGATCTTGACATTTACAGGTGTACCTGATATTATGTAAACTGTGAAGTTAAGCACATGAACTTCTTCATACATGAATCATCGTCCAGCAAACTCAGATCCACTGTCACTGTAAATTATACTATTTTCCAAAATTATATCTTCAAAAACGCTACATCATGGCAATTTAGTGCAGTTCAGTTTGAGATAGTACATGTTGCACAGAGAAACCTAAGTACCTGGAGTGCTTTGGATCTAACTGAGAATGTCTAAAAGCATTTTGGTTTGTCATCTAGATAAGAAATATTTTTGGTTTATTGTATGAAAATGCCCTCAAGCCCATATTAAAAATATCTATGGAAAAGTAATAAGCCCATCAAGGAAGTTAGTGCAAACAATAAAATTTATACTTTAGTATGTCTTTTATGGGCAGACTTTGTGGGATTTCTCTCCCATAACTCCTACAAACTGATGAAGTACCACTAATTCCCTCAAGGAGTAACAGGTGTCAAAACACTTACACTTTGAATACACCCGTTCCACATGCTAAAATCATGTCCTTAATATTAAAAAAGAACATCTAAAATCAAAATAACTTTGCCATGTATTCTTGTAGGAAAAACTATTTCACTATTTCACTACCATTTCACTTTGTTCTATTGTCTCTTTGCTTCTATTATATTTTAAATAATCTTATTTACAGGATTTTCACCCCACACACACACACCCATGGAAAAATATATATGATTGTACATCTGCATTGTAGAGTATGTAGTAAGCATATGCTTCTCCTCAAAAGTCCTTAGAATTATTCTAAAAATGCACTAACACTGCTATTTTTTGATCACAAGTGAGAGAAAGCAAGAAGCTAAGGACTCTGCATGGTCTCAGTTAAATTCAGTTCTCAAAAATTGAAATCCGAAAATTGCTGTATGGCTGTGGTGTAAGACATGCTGGAGACTAGTGCTGAAATAAAGCCCAGACATGTGCAGAACAAATTCACCAGCGTACAAAAAAGAACACCAAATTAGAGTTTGAACACTTGCTTGAAATCAGTAAGAAAATTCTTGTGCATGAAATTACTGCCATATTAAGAATTTCCCTGTGAGGGCTTTAATCACTGATGCAGTTCCACTAGAACTAGTGGGGCTGTTACATATTTAGAAACAATTATGTAGTTGTCCATGTTGGTATGGTGACAGATCCCTATTTATCTTTGGAGATGCTGGAGGGTAAAATCTTGGCACCCATCACAGTCTGGCAAAACGTCCTATGACTTCAACCAAGCCAGGATGTTCCTTCTGTTATTACCACACACAACCACATATTTGACTACAGTCACCTGGAAATTTCATCCCCTGGCATATGCTGTTGAAAGAAGTGACCCTGGGGAGAAGAGTCATCCTGAGAGTGCAACAAGTTTTGTCCATCCTGCATGTCCCTGCCTAGGAGCTGAATGCATAAATTCTTTACTTGCACCACCTTCTCTGCTTAGCTCACCT